AGAGTAGAATATTAAGAGTAGAATATTAATTTTTTATTTCTTTTACCTGTTTTAAAAATAAGTAACAAATTGAATTCACTAAGAACTTAATCTGGGTGACATATCAATAAGTTCGCATTTTGCAAGTCAAAGAATATGCTATTTAAAGTGAAAAAAGAGATATGTTAAATTTTTTATTCAAACCACAGTTATAAAAAGAGATCAGGGCTCTGATATATAGCCTATGAGTTCTGATTCACACTTCTTAAAGTTCTTTTATTCTGTCAGAATATGTATTACAGTAGAGACCATTCACTTTCGTTAGACGCAAACAAGCGCTTTATGAATCGTACTTCTCAATGGTAGTTGACATGGCACACTTCTTTTTAAATATGCTTATCAGATATTTTCAAATTGAGAGTTAACTGCACTTCTCTCCTTTAATTTGAATTGAATCTAAGTTCCTAATGTTATATGTTCATATATTGCACTAGATATGTTGCTGAGGTGTTCAGACTAAACACACTCCCCAATTCAATCAAGAGCATTGGAGGGTGCAAAAGTAAACTGTCATTTACTAAGTTAAACTTCGGTTATTGATCTTCGTACCATGGAATGGTGAACAATAAAGTAACGAACTGGAACCATTAAATTAAATCCGAAAAATTGGGGTTAGTAACTTGAGTAAAGAATCCAATGTAACCTATTTTAAGTGAGTACAACACCATTTACAAAACCAGGAGCAATATATCAATAAGGTGAATTTCATTTATAAAAATATCGATCCATCATACAATTAAGTTGATATTATTTCTTATTCCGACAATTCAAATGTAGCCAACCTTGCTAAAAACGGTTCGTTAATGCATTTGTGACTGGCAATTCAGTTTTCTAGGACTACACAGAAGAATCAAGACTCCAGGCGTAGACAGTTTTCTTTACTTCTCTACTTTCAACAAATTCACATGGACTTGAATCCTTCAATCTTATTAAAAGCTGTCTTTTCATTTGCCGAAGCCAATAATGCTAACCAAAACAAGTCAACCAATCCTACCTACTTGCTCATTACAAGTAGACCAGAGTAGCATGATCAACTTATGAATTTAATGAGCTCCAGTACGTTCTAAGTGTCGGGGAGAAGTATCACCATGATCCTAGATGTCATTACCCGAAAAATAGGATTTGTTTCGCGTAGAAGGCGAACAAAATGCCTCCTGAGAGGAAACAAAGAAAGGATCCTTCCTCTTTTCGTACCTAATTAGACCATATTGAGTTCTTCCTGTTTGGATGTTATATGTTATGTATGTGTGTGTGTGTGTGACAAAACTAGCGCTCTAAAGCATTTTTAAATTTAATTTTCTTTACTATGTTATTTATGACGTCTTATGTTGTTTACTCACGATCCACCACATACCAGTTGGTTATTGCCCTTACTTTGAATTTCAAGTATAGCTAAGGAATAGTTATTGAGGCCTATGTTTTGTACGTATGAGCTGTAAGGTAAAGGAGAGTGCTTGAGGGAAAATAACTTTTCTACTCAGCTTGCGTACTGGGAGATTGAAAACCCCCATCGCTTTATGGGGAGGAACATGAAGCACTGACCTTTGGCAGAAAGTTAATGTAAATTGAACACACCAATAAGTCTGCACATGCAAATTAAATCACACAATCCAATATTCACTAGTGTCTAAATAACGCAATTTTTAAAGAAAGTAGAACAATATTTACCATCACTATTGTAGAGTATATGCTAAACGTGGATTTGATATCATAATTCATGGGATTGGCCATATCGCATCATGTAAAGTTTCCAATTCTATTTGAACTTTCTACCGAATGGTCAAACGCCCCCCCCCCCAACGCCAATGTCTGGTATTTCATTTCATCAATTATAAACAACTCTGGTTGGCCATAAGCGTATGTGACCGTTATACAAACTCCCCGCAAACCCTACCTTCCTTGAAATTCACCAACTGGGAACATTCGGACTTGCAGCTAAATGCTTAAGGTCGGCTGTCCAACACAGTGGAACTCCAAACTACCAGAATGCCGTAACAAATCACTCATTTTCATAACAAATTAGGCTCCTATCCAAGCCATAAATATTTAATCGAAAACTTTGCAATTGCTGCCTGGCTGTTCTGAAAACAAAGGCTATAATGCGAATGCACAATATAACAAAAGTGGATTTCATTAAGTGGAAATGGCAAACATAAAAACGAGCGATCATAAAGGCACATGGACATCCGCAGTCATGTCGCGTAAGTGGAACAAACTTTACTGATGTGAATTTTGAAGAATTGTGAATTAAAATTATCAAAATCACCCTGGCTTTGGCTACCAATTAAAAGCAAAAAAATGAAGGCATGATAAGATGTAATTGAGAACGTCGAGGAGGGACTATTTATTGTATCACTGAAGAGGTTGAGAAGAAATTTGCTGAAGAATAAAAGTTAGATCATAAAAACATTTCAAGGAATCTCCCAATTTTATTCAGAAAGAGATTATAAGGATAGTCACTGGATAAGAATTTGATTTGGTCATTTCCTTCTCTCTGTAATTCATCATCAAACTTAATACAAATGCATTTGAAATGCCTCAACCTTCCACAGTCAACGCATTTGAGAAATTTAATGACTTTACAGCTTAAGTTTTATAAAAGATATTCCACAAATAAAGATATAAATGTTTATTTGATGCCAATACGGGAATATTTATTAAAAATAATATTTTAATTAAATATAATGCGGAATTTTTGTCCAAAGCGTACTAGAAAAGCTTCCTTTAAAATAGGGCTTGGGAATAAACAGTGCTTTTCGATGTTCTTTGCGGTGGGTAATGCAAATTTTAGCGATATTTCAATCGCTTTATTCTAACGATAAAAGGCTAGTAATATTTTATTTATTTTGGAGCAATGAAATTGTGGGTACAAGATTAAAGGCCACTAAACAAAACTTTTTAAGATGAAATTTCCATTTAGTCAAAAAATATCTTTTAAGCGATTCAAACGCGTTCTAGGCTACATTATAAACTCCATCTTAACCAATTGCACTAAGAGCTAATTCAAAAAGCATATTTTCGGTAATTAAGATAGTTTGTTTATATTTTTACGATTAAAAGCAAGGTAAAATAAAGTTAAAATTTATTCATCCTGAAAAGCACCTGATCATAAAGTATGATGAAATGGCTCAACTATGGCCGAGTGAAAGGTAAGGAATATATTTACAAATTTTTTTATGAAAAGCTGGTCATTGTTAAAACAATTGGGCACTTTTTTATCCCGTTGAAAAGCCCACCTTTTCATTGTAATACTCCAATGTTCAGATCACGGGATATTTCCCGGACTTCCAAAGAGGTGTCACTTTGGGCATATTCGGATTCTAATAAACCACTTTTAAGATGCTAGTAGAAAGACAAGATCAAGAATAATTGTAAACACCAATGAGTTCATGAAAATTCACTTAATGTACATCCTACTTCCAGCATTTATTACATTTAATAGAGGTAAATACTGCTTTAATCAAAATTCTCCTCATTTTCTTCTAATTGAATTGCAATGGGAAGTAGTCGAGGGCCAATTTTAGTTTTGAATATTGCAAAATACTTGCAACCTAGTAAGTAAAATTTGATTGGATTAATTACGCGCTTTTCAGCCTGATTTAACAAAATTTTTGCTTGACATTTTACTTCAATTTTTGTTGAAAATATTTAAGGGATTTCAACTTATTAATTTAATTATGTCAATATGTAGACCGTTGCTTGAAATGGAAAATGGAGAATTCCCAATCAATCTATATGAGAGAAAAAAGAAAAAAATTGATGGATTTTATCCTTCCGAGCCGTGATTTTCACCTTCCTGCTTGTATGTGTAATGGGAAAGAACAAATGTATTCCTCACTCCCTCCCTTTTTGACATTGTTGTGTTTAGGTACAGAGATATTCCCTTCCCGTCCAATTGACCAATCACAATCGTGACAGAAAAATGGCTGCTCGACCAATGGGACAGAAAATTGGGAGAAGGAAAAATTGCAGTAAAGGGGAGATGAAGCGAATTACGCAACTCATCATGCCTTCCGACAGTCTTTTTCCTCTCCTTTCTACCCATCACGTCATACAAAATAATTTGCACTGAAGTGTGACTACTCTGATCCATTTGATGCACTTTAATGCATAGAATCAATTTCGGAATTGTAAATGAAATTATATTTGGAACAATGAAAAATAATCATTCAAGGGTTTTAGATCTTAATTGTTTCTCAAGACCAGTTTTCAAACTGGATCGTGTCAATATTAATAACTGGTACACCCCCTACTGCACGCGAGATTCATTTTTAATTTTCTCGCGATGTTCAAAAGTAGAAATTTGGCATTTAATAACAGCGAAAGTCCTACGATTTTTTGAGAATATACCTTTACCTTTAGCATGCAGAAATTGGCCATCTCATGGGGATTTCAAAATACACTTGAATAGGAAAAATGTGCGATACAAAAAAAGACTTTAAATGTGAACGGTTTTCCAATTAATTTTTTATCCAAATATGATCGAATCCTACCAACCAAATAAAATCGTGCTCAGAAGACTAACTATCTCTAAAATAATAATATTTCAGCGGAATACAAGTGTGAGACTGATACCTTTTGACCTTTTAAGCTGAATATCAGCGTCAAATGTACAACTGCACCTACCTTTAAAAAACATAGAACTGATTCGTACAGTGCGCAATTATAAAAATATTATTAGCTCAGTACAACCAAAGCTGATCCATGGAAATCATGATTTTCTCAGTAATCGCAGGTGTCTTCAACACAAGCTAACTAACAAACAGCCGGTTTATTATGCGAGCAATCGATATCACAGATTATACATATAATGATAGGCTGAAAAACCATAAATTCTTTCAAAATACGACAAAATAAAACTGATCATTTTAGACGAAAAACAAAAATATTTCAATAAGAATATCTTTGGAGGGTGACTAAATGTAAACAAGCTCTCTGGGCAAATTTTGAGTTTAACCTAACTACAAAAACTTACCATAGTGTCCACCCCAAGCCGCAGATCGTAGAGCTGACCAACCGTCTTGGTCAATTTGATCCAATCGAGCATGAGCATCTAGAAGACATTTGACAATCTCCAGATTCCCCTGTCGTGCAGCCAGAACCAACGGTGTTGAACCAGCGGCGTCCCGCGATTCAGTATCCACAGACCCTTGGGCTAAAATACTTTTCACAACATCTAGTTTTCCTTGAAACGCCGCCGTGCATAACTGGCCGATTGAAGTCTCCTTATCCGCTCCAGTCCGTAAGAGAACCTGTTTGGGTCTCTTGTCTCTATTCTTCGTTCCATTGCAGCCTTGTAATCCTAACTGTGGCTCAAAAGTTCTATGTTCATAATTTAGAGCGTCTTCAATTAACTGACTAATGGAAGATCCTGCAAATGAGCAGTGCACAAGTATTGGGTCGTGCAGGAACATCCAACAGTCCAGATTGGCAAGAGTATCCACAGTGAAATCCAATTCAACGTCCTTCAGAGTGGAGGTCAACTTCTGAATCGCCTCAGCTGAATTGTAAAGATTTGAACGTGCGAAATTGTAAAGTATGTCCCAGGTGAAAGAATGTGAAAGACTTGGAGTTTGCTTGATTTGATTAAGAGCAGCCACTGCAAGCATAGTATGACCGTCCCTGGATGAAGCTAGGTACACTGGAGTAGAATACTTGACATCAAGATACCAATCCCGCAAGCTGGTATGGGCAAGACCAAGAACACGCTCGTGCTGTAGATCTGCATAATCAAGTAGATCTATCCATTGCCGGGGTTGTTGCTGCATCAGAAACAATGGGTAGTCGTGAGTTAAGAAGAAGGGTAGAACAAGCACCTGTTTCCAGTTCTCTAGAATCTTTGGGGAGAAGCCGTTTGCTTGCAAAATAACATCTACTTCTGTTATGGTTAAGGGCCTAGGGGTTGTCAGAACCAGGTTCAGTACTGGCTTGATGACAGTCATAAAGGAAGTCGAGGGATCGTTCGAGATGGGATTAAGTAAACGCTGACTAAGCCAGAGAAATAGGCCGTTAATAGTTCCTGGGATGGTTTTAATATATTCTGGAGTTAACCAACCCTCACTAACTGCAGATAAGGCAATATGAAGATAGAGTATAGAGCCATTGCTTTTATACTGCAACATTTGAAGGGTATCATTTCCACATAGAGGGAAGATATTGTTTAATTGAGGGTCATTTTTAACTCGTGAAAGGGTATAATCATTAAGATCTTTGACAACAGAAGGACATCTAGTATCATCTAGAAAGGCAGTGCTAGCACAACGGAAGAGACGACGTAGAATAGTTTGGGAATCACGACGACATGTAATAAAGATACCAATCCAGGGAGGAAGAAAAAGTGCATTGACGGCAAGGAGTTCAAGTAGATTTCGACTAACCCATCCCTGGCGAATGCGACCGGAGGATTGATGAAGACTAAGACTCTGAAATTCATTTGCATGGTCAGATGTGGAAGAAGCTTGTGAAAGCCTTTTGTGCGAACAACCAATACTGGAAATTGATGGAGGGGCTCGGACTTCGGAAGTGGGATTAAAACGCAAACATTCATCAGCGGCGTCAATAGCAAAGAAGAGCTTTAGCTCACCACCTAATTGTCGAGGATCTAAATCCCCGAGAACCTTAAAGATACCTTCAGAAAGAACTTCATCGGGAAAAGCACACATTCGGGCAGAAGTGAACAGACGATTGAGACGCCCCCCATTAGCGGAAATTCGCTCTCTGTAAAATTCGCCAATAGAATCCTGTCTTGCAATTAGTTGGTCTCGAAGGGAGAGGATGAAGCGAGGAAAATTAATAGTTGAAGCGAATTGATTTGAACATGTATGATAAGCCAAAAGTCGGCCAGATATACCTGAATAATATTTTCTCACAATCTGGTTGAATAGCGCAGTTTTACCCGCACCAGGTCCTCCCATTACAATGAAAGAACATGACATGGCCTCGGTGGATGCTGGAGTACTATCTGAAGAGAGTTGAAGCCATCTTGAAAACTTCTCAAATACCCATTTACGTCCGATGAATAGAGGAGGAGTGGTGACTTTTTTGGGAGAAGATGTGGTTCGAATAGGGACTTCTGGAGGAGCTGTATTAGTATCAGAACCAGTCGAATGTTTGGAAGTGTTGGAAGGTGGAAGCGAAGGCGCTCGAGGAACAAAAGTAGAGTTCGTATAAGAAAGAGGCAAAGCAGAGTCACTGTTAGTAAACGATTTGCTCATTAAATTATTTCCCGTTTGGTTAACAACCAAACCATCTGATCCAGAGGAGTCAAAAATGGGGGAAGAGGCACCATTACGTGAAGATGACAAATTTGGAAGGTTAGAAGTAGCCATATCAAGCATATTTTTTTGAGCCTGAATGTCAATGAAGATCCTAGAGCTTACCAAGACGTTTTTAGAATCATTTATACAGTCGGACTCCATTTCCTATCCGAAAGAACATTATTGTCTGCAGACAAGCATTAGACTAATATATATTGAAAGGAAATCAATATATATAATGACCGAAGAAAGGCTATGTTCACGTAGTCAGCTTCGATAAGGAATCATTTTATGGAATACTTAAAGCAAAGCGAATCGTAATTCCATGACACTTTCTCATTATAGGCGAATTCGAATGCAGAATTAGCTTTTGGTTATGAAATGACTGATAATGTGATACGCTAAAACACAGAGGTTTGATAAACACAAATTATGAGTATTTATAGTTCTTACAAAAAAATTCTATTTCATTTTAAAAAGATTTAACCAATTAATGAAAAAGAAAATAAAAATCAAACTTAGAGGATTCAATAAAGTTAATCATGCAGCACATTCTTTTAATAGCTAAAATTCAAAATAAATTTTCTTCGATATATAATGTAAGTACATGAACCATTTGAATGCAATTTCGTGTCGACAAGAATCATTTTTAAAATTTTCAATCATAATGTTCAATAAAATTATTAATATCGATTAACCTAATATTCATAATATTTTATGAGTTTTAGTTTTAGTGCACCAAATTTGTTTTATTCCTTATTGAAAATTGTGTCTATTTGCGCTTGGCCTGAAGGCGCAGTATATCGCTTGGCGATATGGCCATCGATTCGCGTCGATGGTTCTATAATGAATTATCAGGGCTTGCAGCTGAGAAATTATTAATCGAAAAAGGCGAACCAGGAAGCTTTCTTATTCGTCAAAGCCACAATAGTCCTGGAAACTTTACCCTATCTGTTCGCAGAAAAGATTCCTTTGCCCATATTCGCATTCAGAATACTGGTGATTTCTTAAGCTTTTTCGGTGGTGATAAATTTGCCACACTACCAGAACTTGTTAATTACTATCGAGAACACCCGGATCAATTAAAGGAGAAAAATGGAACTATTATTGAACTTCGTTACCCTCTGACTGTTGGTGACTATATAACAGAAAAGTTCGCCTAATTTATTATTTTTTACTTGATTGCATTAGTGCTAGATGGTTTCATGGTCGACAAACAGCAAGTGAAGCACAAAATCTCCTTCTTCAGAAAGGCAAGAATGGAAGCTTCTTAGTTCGTGAATCTATTCGTCAGCCAGGTTCTTATGTTTTATCAGTAGTTACGGGTGGAAATACCGTTTCCCATATTCTTGTTAATCGACTTCCGAATTCAAAATTCGACTTGGGAGATGGACAGGCGTTTTCTACTCTTAGCCAACTTATTGACCATTATTCGGCCTTTCCTATTATGGTTAAGGATGGGGATTTGATATGCCTAAAGCAGGTATATTCATTCGCTTCTGCCAGTGGTATCTTTGTTATCTATATTATTTGTTTTTATTCATTTTTATCAAAGCATTGCATTAATGCTTGCTCTTATGTTGATTTACAACTGCAAACGGGGAAAATGTACTTGTTAGTTATGTTTACGATATTAAGACTGCTTAAATTAAAGCTCCTATCTGATTAATTTAAATTTTTACGTTTATTTTAACTTTTATTTCCCTTAAGCTAATTGAGAAATTAAGAAGAACTTGTACTTAGAGCAATTCCTGAAGAAAAAATTTCTTAAATTAAATCGGATAGGTAGACGAGTAATTTTTGGTACATTTATTATATATTTTTTACTTTTCATGTTCGAAACTTGTTATGGTAAGGTTTTGTGGTGGATCAGCTTAGTAATATCATGGTAAATTTATTCTGTTTAATATAGGTATTCATATTTTATAATCGATAGGTCCTGCAAGTTATTGATTAAAATATTTACTTACGTGTCCTATCGTTTATAGTGCTCGTAATATTAGAGATTTCTAACGTATTCAAGCCTTACTTGTTTAGAGAGGTGTTGTAAAATATGGATTTCTCATGAGACTTCAGAATGTTTCTCATATTCTCTGTATGAGTTAGATGGATGGATAATTGAAAGCAGATAAAACATGGCTTAATGGCTGTAAATGATATATTTCCTCATTTTTCTGGCCAGGCATTTGAGTCACACATATCTATTAGTCCATCTGGATTTGCCTACCTTTCATCAAGTTCAGTTGACATATACTCTTTTATAGCTAATCTTATTCACAAAGTGTCCTGTTAGTCATATTTCTTCGGGTTTGAGTTAACTGTAGACTATCGACATCGCCCAGGAAGATAGATCATAACAACAGAATTTAGACTTCTAATATTAAAACGTTAGGTTTCAAGTGTTAGACTTCATTTCATTCGCATTGTGCTTAGAACTTGTATAATAATCATTTTATTATAGACCTTTAGCATAAGGCATTTGAACAGAATTATGCACGCGGTTCTTATCGCCGTCACAATAAGTAACTTACACCAATGATCCCAAAATAAATTTATTTTTAAGCTTTGATTACCTGAGAAATAATCAAAGAGGTGGGCATTTAAACTATTTTTTCTTCGAAATCTGGTCCTGGCTAGTAGGCATTTTCTGATCCTATTTAGTTTTATTGAGAAAGATCAAGCAAATGGTCTTTTAAATTTGCGTAACATTTTCCATTTTAGCCCTTTAATGTGACGCGACTGAACGTCTCCTGCTTGGACCAGCGTGTCGCTCAGTTAGAGAAGGAAGGTGTTCGTGGAAAACGAGTGACAGGTTTCTGGGAGGAATTTGAAGAACTCCATGACGAACCAATAACAGCTGGTATTTCTCGTATTGAGGGTAGTCGTGCTTGTAACGCCGCGAAAAATCGATACAAGAACATCCTCCCCTTCGATGCTACTCGTGTTATACTGCGTGATGGGGACCCTAATATTCCCGGATCGGATTATATCAACGCCAACTACATTTCAAATCCCGTAAGTGCTCACTTTAAAATTGGACAAAATTATCGCTTTTATAATCCATAATGTATATTTTCTGAATCCCGCCATGCAGTTTACAATTTACTATGTCCAGGTTTAAAGTAATACTAAGGAGTATTATTTTTATAATCTTTTTTCTTATACAATAAAGTTTTATTATCCTCAAGTAGGCCTATTTTCCTCGTAAGTCTAATGAAAATTAGGCGTACAATTCTGCCACTTCAAAAATTAAATTCTACTGTTTCTATAACCGTTATTTTGACAAAAGTTGGCTTCTTTCTAATATTTGATTTTCTGTTACGAACGATATTGAATCTGAATAGGGATAGTGTCAGTATTATCAATGCCAATTGAATATTTTTATGATTATCATTAGTGACATTGCTACGATGTAGTACCGTGATCTAAATAGGTTTTTATGAAAAGTCATAAAATATATAATTCGAGTTAAAGATGAAAATAAGTACATAGAGTAAAGATGTAAATGGGGTTAGTTGGCTGTCATTTGTCTTGTGCCTGCCCCATATATATATCGTTAGGTTATCAAATATATTTAGGGTTTGCAAAGCGTCGCTTAATGCAACTTTACAAATCCAGGTATTCCTTCGAGAAGGTTTGCAGAACCCTACAGAAGAAGAAAGGAAACCTCAACCCTTGACAACATCTGGCAAAGAGGAAGAGGGAGAAACCGCCAACCCATCGCCCAGTTCCATTAATCGACGAAGTCGAATATTCTTTTCCTCGCAACCGCAGTACATCGCAGCTCAGGGTGTTCTGCCTGGAACAGTAGTGGATATGTGGAGAATGATCTGGCAGGAGCGAGTATCCATTGTCGTTATGCTTACGAAGGAAAGGGAACGGGGCAGAGTGAGTTATCATCCCTTCTTACTCTCTTCTTATTTGCTATTAGCCTCTCAGAATTCAGTAATTGCACTACTGCTATTATTTTTAAATTATCTAAGTCAGTGGGTATGCAAATTTTACGAATGACTAGCAATAAGTTGTTGATTTAATCTTTCCTAGAAAGTTGTTAGGACTACTGAATTTTGGGATTACTAGGCGAAGAGTTGCCATGTGTCAGATGAATCTCCATTGAATTCCTTTTGTGTTTAAACGTTAAATCTGGCTATCTACTACGGGGATTTTTGTGCCGGCGCAACCTGATTTTGATACCAATGTGTGGCTTTGTCCTATTCCTTAGTCTATAAGGAATTAAGAATCGCTTCCATTTTTTCTTTCGTGGCACGAATTTGCCTCTTCAGCTTGTCAACAAGTTTTTTAATCAGATCATTGAGATTAAGTGGAGAGTGTAAAAGTGATATATTTAAATCACAATAAATTTTTCCAATTGGGTATATGATTTCTGGGTGGCATTTCTGGGCACAATAGCCCATGATAAACGAATATCTGTGGGATGTAGATTGATTTCTCCTCATCTTTAAACTTTTATCACTATGTCCTTCTGGGCTTTCAGATTGGCTGACATTTTGTTTAGCTAAAAATTGCATTTCACGTTTGTGTTCTATAGACGGGGATGTATGCATTCTTTCAAATAATCTCCTTTTTGATTAACCGTGTCAAATGTTTCTAATAGAAGACAACATATTCAGACAGTCGTGGCGTTCATCTTATTATCATAACTAAATAGTCGTTAGTTAAAGCAATTCCCCCATCAAAATATTAGTGTGCTAACTTTTTAAAATAACGTTTTAATCCATCTTTATTATCTAAAATATGAAACTCCTTATATTATTTAACAAAATATTTTTTCTCTAGTATAATGAGTAATTAAACTACATTTATGAAACTATAATATCACAATCTGGTCATTAAATAATGATATGAGGTTTTCATACATTCCCTTCTCATTGAAAAGCTTTAAAGCGATGATCATTCGTATAGTTATGTTGATATTTTTTCCTTACTAATAAAATATTATTGCATTTACTATTGTGTGATTTTGTATTCACAGCATTATTTAGTTAAGTACTTCTCCTCCTTTGCCTCTACTTTAGGTTCTCTAACACTTTTCATCCATGTTATTACTGTTCTAGAACAAGTGTGAAAAGTATTGGCCGACTGAATTAGAGGGCCCTCTAGTGCTCTCCGTACCCTTAGGTACTCTCAAGGTCACCCCAGTCTCCGAGCGTAATCTCACTTCGCGCATTATTCGTGAGATGAAGGTCAGTCTTCATCGACGGAGTACCCTTGAGGAGGTTGACAAAGAAGCAGAAGGGACGTCTTTAAAACCTGAAGACGACGACTCCTTCACTGTCTACTTGTTGCAATTTCTTGCCTGGCCAGATCATGGAACACCCAGTGAACCGTCGGAATTTCTTGATCTCCTCTTCGACATATCTTCTTTCCAGGTATTTAATTGATCTAACGCCAATAGTTGCGAATCTAATAGCAACACTCTTCTTTATTGACCAGTCCATAATTTCTACTACAATTGATTTACTAATTGGAGACTGTGAGCCAAGCCGATTCGCCAATTAAGAAGGATTGTGAAAGTATATAACTTTATAGCAGTTTAGGCATGCAGGTTCGAAATTTGGGATGGTCATAATTAAACACGATCAGTAATTGAAATTCATTTATAAATTATCGGAGATAGCAATATAAATTCCCTTATTGGTCTGATTGTTGGATAAAGAAAAGTGTCTAAAAGACTCAAGTTGTTTCTTGTAGAATAACTTATATTGACATTTGAATTGCTGATCAAATTTGTCCTGGTTAGGCTGAAAAAAACAGAGTAATTGCCCCAAAGGGCCTTGTATTAGGTTGGCAACTAAGTCATTGCCGATTTCAAATAAGAAGGCAAATTCGGAATTTTTGTTTAAAAATATAACTTTATTCAATTGAATATTGGCCGTTCTTGTCGATGACCTTTTTCCATCGTTCTGGCAGAGTAAAAATTCCCCGTTCGTAAAATGTCTGGTCTTTGCTATTAAAAAAATTGAATTAGGTGTGATCCGACATCATCCGCGTTGTTAAAAATTTTACCATTTAAAGAGTTTTGCATGGAACGAAACAAATGGTAATCCGAAGGCGCAAGGTCAGGGCTATATGGTGGGTGTGACAAAACATCCCAACCCAGTTCCAATAATTTTTGCCGAGTAACCAAAGATGTGTGGGGCCTTGCGTTATCATGATGGAAAACAACACCCTTCCGCCGATTTGATAATGCCGGCCGCTTATCTTCAATTACATCCTTCAGTTTTCGAGTTGTTCAACATACGCATTTGAATTTATCGTTTGCTTCTGCGGCATGAGTTCAAAATACAAAATTCCTTTGTGATCCCCCCACCAGACTGACAGCATAATCTTTTTTGGTGAATCTCTGCTTTTGATACTGTTTGGGCTGGTTGATCTTGCTTCACCCATGATCTCTTGCGAGTAACATTGTTATAAACTATCCACTTTTCGTCGCCAGTAACTAGGTTCTTCAGTGCGTTTCAGTTGCGTCAAATGAATTTCCTTTAACTGGTGAGGGATCCATAAATCAAGTTTCTTGACATAACCAAGGGTTTTTAATTTTTTTTTTTCAATGCATGTATGCGACACATTGAGCTTCTCTGCAATATCTCGTGTTGTGCTGTGACGATTTGAATCGATAATGGCCTTGATATGGGTTTCATCCACTTCGACTGGGCGGCCAGATCGTTGTGAATCTTTCAGTGAAAAATCACCGCAACGAAATCTTTCAAACCAATTTCGACACTGCCTTTCTTTTAAGGCTTCATCTCCATATACGGCACATAACTTCTTTTGTGCTTGCTATGCGTTCTTGCCTTTTCGGAAGTAATACAATAAAATGTGTCGGAAGTGCACGTCCTGTTCTTTCATTTTTAAATTGGGATAAAAATAAAACTAAAGAACTAAACAAAAAAATTATTTACTAATTAACCTAGAAGCCCATACAGTAAGAAAAAAATATAGGTTAGATGCTCTGGGCACGTTAACAAAACAAAAGAAAGTGTAGAGTGAATCAATGACTTAGTTGCCCACCCAATAGTTCGCTAGGTAGGGCTGTATAACCTATCTGTCAGTATACACGTTCTTTTTTCTTTATTAACATAGGAAAGCATGGAGACGACAGGCCCTGTGGTCATCCATTGCAGTTCAGGAATCGGACGAACAGGTACCTTGATCGTGGTAGACATGATTATCGGTTCTATTTGTGAAGGCGGTCTCCACACTGACATTGATATCGCTCGAACTGTCCAGGCAGTTCGAGAACAACGGTCTGGAATGGTGCAAACTGAAGCCCAGTATCGATTCATCTACAAAGCCGTGCAGGAGTTTGTCTCAAGTCTGCTTCTACGCGTTAAAGAAAGAAATGTACGTTGAAACTCGCTATTCATGTTGGTTTGCACTTATTTACATTGTACAGTAAGCCTCCTTCGGCACTTATGTATTTCCAAAATATCCAGTTTCCTCTGTTATGACTTATATGTTCTTTTGTTATTGCTAGGCTATAATTGATTCATTGAGAGGAGAGGAGAGAGAAATGTAGTTAGTCCGAGATGGTTTATGAGTACAACGGAATGCATTGCTTTTTAGTATGTGCTATATCGTTTATATGCCTCCTAAATAGCCGCAAATTCCGAACTTGAGAATATACACTGAATAAGAACAAAAGTTTAATTTAAGGGCCACCGTAAAAGTTTTAGCCTCTCTGCCTATAACGAGAAGGCAACGTGTCATAAGTGATCTTGTGAAAGGTTTTCCACTTTCCATTTACTATCGTTCTCAGCAGCACATTTAGAGAAGTTTGAATATCTAACGATTTCGGTAGAGAAGTACTGTTGTGGCCACTTAGGTGGGTGCTAAATGATGGTGAGAAGTTCTGGCCAAAAATTTTCTTTGACCTGTATAGTTTCGCATTTACTGAGTTCATCGAATTACTTGGTTAGGACGCATTTACTGAGCAACATTAAATTTCGATAGAACTCCACTTTTCGATGAAACAACAAACTTGTTTTCTTGTCTTATTTGACAGAATTCATCGTAAGCACGCATTTGTGTTTATTGTACCACGATTCCAGCACTCACCTGATTCATGGTCATGAATCAACCTGCATCACTTTTAGTAAAATCTTTGGCAGTTGCAATATGGAGAATTTCCACTGATGCAGGCTTGATGTCAACTTGTTATCTTTGTTTTTTATTTAGAAATTTAACTCATTTACATTTCTCTTTATTTAACACTGCGATGGCTGAAACAGATGAGGTAACTGGATATAAAAGGTGATTGTTAGATAGTAGTTAGGATCCTCTATTAGTCTGCTCCAGAGGATAATGCCTAACTTATTGAGTAGTGTTGCTTTCAAAGTTGGTATTTTTCAGATAAATCACTGCTCAAATTCGCACATTATTCTACTCCTCTTGTCCCTTATTCAACTGGATGAGATGGATGATGAATGGGCATCGGAACCTTCATCGCTGTATTCATTCTCTACAACTTATTTTCCTGTTAATTCAAACCTTTGTCCTATTATAGGCTCTAAAACCTTACGGAATTGACTATACTAACTTGAAACAAACACCCAAAAGTGAAGACTGTCTTTGCTGTAATGGTGCCGCCAGCTTTCCGAATACAGCCAGTTTATCTTCTTCTCTGCCTAACTCCAGTCGGGGTTTCTGGAGTAATCGGAGTATAAATTGTCTTCATAAGCCCACTCCTCCACCTTTACCCCCTTTGAGCAGTCCAGGAGATGCTTCGCAGTCGCCAACAGTCCCTTTCTCTTCATGTGGGTCTTCTTCGGGATCTAGACGTTGGTACAAGCTTTCTTCGGCTTCTCGGTGACGTCCAGATTTTTGCTTCCAAACTACCTTCCTCCCCTCCCGCCATCATACGAGTGATAAGGTGGGCACTTATTCTATCGTTAACCCATAAGCCAATGCGGAAAAATGGAACAGAAAGCGTTTCTTTGTAAATGAATTAGCTCTAACCGATAAGCTAAGTCAATTTTAAGAGTCCAATCAAATGAGGCTAATGCTGTACATCAGCCTTTCTCAAATTTCGAATATCAAAACTTGTTTTATTATAGGTGTATTCGACAGGTGTATATAAAGTAGGCAACAAGAAGTGGTATGGCATTTTCATCTTTTCTTTTCGGATGGAACTTGAGTTGGGGTAAACAGAGCGAATTAAGGTATGATGAAGGAGTTGACTTCGAATTCTTTGCTCGTCGATTAACGATCATGTATAATTATCGTCTGACGAGAGTGTGGAGTTTTGAGTTATCATGCTTGAATGTTGCACGTTCTTGATTCATTTAATAGAAAGGAAACTTTTTGTTACTTTTACTGTCAAAATACTAGTTCTGAGTGATATTTCAGTTCCTCTTTCTTAGAACCGACTCACTTTCAACTATTGGAAGTCATCTAGTTTAGTTAATACCCAGTTTCTATTTGTTTGGGTGATGACTACGCTGTATGATGATCTCAATGGATTTTAAAATGCGACAATTACGCAAAGAACGTTGATAATTAGTAACAAATACTTTTGATGATCATGAAGAGATAATCCAAAGTTCACTAATTCTCTCGTTGAAGAATTGTTGTTAATGCTAAGTTTGTATACCTTGGTAGTTATTTTTAAAAAAAATCATTGTAGAAATTTGCATCCACAAGTGTACTTTTCTTTGACGGGCCTGTTTAAACTCATAAATTAATTAGACGTAGGCATACCCTCCTCGGAATTTCGTATATGATATACCTGCATACCTCCACTTATTTCATGCTCACATAGTACTTGGAAGGGAAAGTTCTGTGTAGCTTTTCTGCATTCTTACATTTTTTCATTTCATTGAGCAGCATTTAATTTGGCTATGTACTAAAACAATAAATACAAGTAGTTTCATATCCCATTTCTTTTTATATCTTTGTCATATCCGATAGTATTTTTTAATTCCAAGCAGTATTTTGCATACTTTGTAAGTGAATGTACTTTTAGCTCTTCTATCTGCTTTGAAATACTTAATCATCGAGGCCCAGCTTTCCTATTCAATTTTTTGCCTAACCCATTCGCTTGGCATACTTTACGTCTTAATTTTCACCCTTGTTTTGTTATGAACCTCCCCAATTCTACCATGGAAAGTGTTCACATCGCATAACTTAAGTAGGGGTAGGCATCCTGAGGCCACTTCGAAGGGAAATCGTGCCACGCCATCCATGTCATTAGGTGCTGAACTTGAGTTGGATGTTTCTAATTCAACTCAGTGTACACTCTTTTCCCTTTCAGCTCTACCCATTTACAACTCAGGATCATTCCAGGCTTTGCTTTGGCTTCTCGCTGCCGATCTTTTCACTTTCTCTTCCTCCCTCTTCATCCTTGCATTTTGTAAACAGACTTCTCCCTATTCGAACTGCCTACCTATCTTTCACCTACATCCCTGTCATCCCCTCACCCTCAAAAACAAATTAATGACACAACACATATTTATTAAAGTTATTTATTTCGTCTATGTGACATCTATGATTCGTAAGAAATAAATAAAGAAGCAAGAATTCCGGGAGGAAGTATAAAAAGAAGGAGAGTGGCAATAGGGGGTCTGCCTGAAGCTCTACGGTTATAGTAGTCATAGTAATGCTTCTCCTTTTCATACTTTTCCTCCGCCTCATTCCTTAATGGGCTTGCTTTTGGTTCTCTCCAAATAGTCCCCGGCGTTGTGTGTTTTCGCCGGAATTTTCTGGAGTGGAAGATCTCACTGGCCCGATTAAAGCTCATTTTCGGACCGTTGGGGGTACAGGAGAAATGTGGGGTTTGGAAGTTATCGTTTTCACCTTCACGGTGTGCGTAAAATTGTGCAATCCCCCGCTTGCCATCATACAACCGTCTCTGTTCTGGATCAATAAGGACACTGTAGGCTTCATTCACCTCAAGAAATGATTGGGAATCTGTAGATGCAACATCGGGATGAGTAGACTTGCATTTAGTGTAGTAAGCTGCTCTAATCTCTTCGGGTGTAGCTGTTACTGGAATATCCAACACGGAGTAGTAACAGTCCTTTTCAAAGGTAGTTCTAGCAAAACTTCTACAACATAACTGGAGTTGTGGTAGAAGTCGAGTTCGCGAACCTGAAAAAATCTAGCAGAGAGTTCGCGTGTAATAGCTTAAGTAACAAACGAATTAACAAAAAGAAGAGAATATAGTGGACAGAAAAATTTTTATTAGAAAAAAACCGTCACAGCTATAAAACATAACTTAACCGCTGACCGTTTTATTGGACGAGTACGCAGCAACATATCAGCCAAAATCGATTTGGGCCCATAACTTATTCCCGTATACTTTTGACATTGAGGCGTTCTCAAAAATATAACTGAGATAGAAGATATCCCGGAGCGTAGCTACTATCGCTTTCAACCTTGTTTGGACATTTCAATCGATGACGGGTTTCGTAGCCATCACAAGTGATCTGCAAAAGATGTCCATGTTACCACTAACCCGAGTTAAGAAAAAAAGTGGACACTAATTCGTCAAATTCAGCTATTATATTTTGCCAAAAAAGATATAAAAAATGTAAACTATGCGAATGTTTTTCCGAGGATCATAGTATGGTCAGCACCACAGGAGACTTGAACAGCTTCAGCAGGCAGAGATAAAGGCATTGGAAAGGTCTGCATATTCTTTACAGATTCCTCTATGGAAGCTGAGGTGTTCTGGCCCAAACCGAGACACGCTAGACCCGCTCTAGGGGCACCCCATGACCAAAGAAGACCACCTCTTGATCGAGCCACGAAGTGATGCAATCCGGGTACCACATTGACTATTTGGTTATCGGAAGAGGGCAAAGCTGGTGAGAAAAGAGCTGGGGGTAAAAGTGTTGGCTTTTGAACTTGAAGGACCTTTGGTCCGAGACCCAGGCATCCGTAGCCCCAAACAAAAACCTAAAATGTAAAAATATAATTAGTCCTTGAGCAGATCTGAAAACATAACACCAAGTAGCAAGCAATACCATGAAATATGGTCGTGAGATGCCTACAAAAATCACATCCCACTTAATAGACAATTCTTGGTTTATAATGATGATTGCATTATGCTTAATTTAGTTATTCTGTTAATAGAAGTGACAATTTTCTATTTTTGTAACTGTATGTAAAAGCTACTATTAGATAGACAATCACATGCACAGCTCATCTACGACGTAAAAATGTCATGCTAAAGAATGTCTAGATGCATGATTGGCGTACCCAACTGCTAAATGGAATTTCGCTAAATTACCAACCCCACAGGTAGGGGAATCGCACATGGACCAGCATTTTCAATCCTCACAGAAAATCTTGGCTTTACCAAGCTCTCGATGGGCACGGTGGGTTCCAAAAGCGTTGCAAGAAAAACTGACTCAAAAAGATGAACTTTCTTTGGCAAAGATGGAAGCATGCAATTTCATGGTGGCAGAGACACACCACAAAATTCTAACATGAGAGAAATACAAATTACAAAAGAGCATAGAAAACAATGGAGCCTATGTAGGAAAATTAATGCAATCACTTGTTAAATATAGAAATAATGGAATCTGTTTGTGACCTTTTTTGACTCATTAACGTAGTTGCGATTGACCATGTTTTCTTTACATCATCAAACCTCGTCATCGTTAGGACTAAAACAAGCATTTTTGACCAAAGCGACAACGAACATTATGACGGACAGAAGCAAAGTTGCTAAAACGTTGGGAGCCACTTTCAGCAAGCATGACTAGCATTTAAGAGGACAATTACAATAATTAACAATATATCAAAATCAATAAATAGAAAACCTTCTAAGGAGTCTATACATGTGCAAAAATAGAAAAATATTAAAGAGTGGAATCATGTATAAAGCAAATTCTAATTGTACTTTAGTAAATAGGTTAAAGCTAACTCATTTCAACGTCTTTGCAATCCGCTGTGAATTATTTAGACCAAGCCAATCAAAATCCACACATAGAATGAAAATATAAATATTAAGATTGCATTTCAAACAAATTTTAAAAATCATTTCATGCATGTCCTCTAAAATGTAAGTTGAAGAAATCCTACTAGTGGAGGAATTTTAAACACAGAGTTAGGAAATTGATGATGGAACAAATATTAAATGACGTGTAGAAAGTAATCCGACAGAAACATAGATGGAGCTCAAGAAAAACAATGCATGTTTTTTAAGCTTTCGGAATAAAATATTTTGCTAAAGGAATATCTAGTTTGATAAACCATATCTTCCAACCAAGACCGCAACTCACATGTCCATACTCATCTAGTATAGCGCACATTGATCCAGCCGCAGCCACTTGCACGATTTTCCCAGCATCCTTTATTTCCTCCAGACACTCATGAACAGGAAGTTCGGTGGGCTCGAGCACTTGTACCTCATCAATAATTGGCCAGATTTGATTGTATTCGTTATTGCCCCAACCAAATACTCGACCGCACTCCGTTAAGGCAAGAACTGTATCTCCACGAGATGATAATTGCCTAGAGAAAAAGGAATAACGTGGCATAGAAGGATACACGAATGGCAATGCAGCACTTAGAGGCATTTAAATGCGTCAAAACAAAACTGACTGTTCAGAAAAAAGCAAATCAGATATATATAAATGCATAAAACGTCGTTTGACAGAGTAACGTGGTAAGGGTTCTCAATGAAGAAACTTGCATTCCAACATGTCCACTGGATGAGTTCATATTTTAAAGAATGGCCCAGCAGAGAGCCACGTTAACATCAAAGACACAGCCATTAAAACTATGTCGAAGTGAGAGTTTCATATTATTGCACGAAATAAAAGACATAGGCGCGGCAAATCTATCAAATTAATTTACTGTAATATTAACTGAATGTTGACAACACAAGCATTCTAATAAAGAACAGAGAATATGTCATCAACTCGAAAATCTTGGGTACATATCCTATCTCAATAGAGTCAACATCTTGAGCTAAAGGCCAATAGTTTGAATTAAAAAAAATAATCGCTTAAAGTTAAAGTTAATACATCTTTATTCACTCTCCCTCCTATCCATTTGCTTTAAAACATGGTCAATCACTCGTGATTGGGGGGCTAAGCTTAAAATAGATGGAGAAATAATGAGGGTGGCTTACGTCACTTTTAAATTCTTCAGTGCCCCACCAACTCTAGTCAACCTATCAACGCAGTCAGTCGTCAAAAGGCCAGTTTGACCATCAGTTGAGAGTCCGCAGGCATACACAGCACCTTGATCTGACAGAACAAGACTATGATCCTGCCCACATTCAATCTGTTTAATGGCCCGCAATTCTTTCGGTAGGTTTACTCGAATAACTTGAGCATTCTCGGGGGTGAAAATTTCATTCTCAATTATCTCACGAGCACATTGGCCAAAGGTGTTATTACCCATACTAAATAAGACTGAGGTCCTACGGATTGGAAAATGGGAAAAAACGAGAGAATGTGCCCGCCCGCAAGATGCGGCCATCGGCATCAACTCTTCATGATAAGGCATCGGAATTAACTGAGGTTCGTCGACAATATCCACATTAATTGAATTAAAGAGCAATCCATGCAGTCTTGACGTCTAAAATGTCATAAATTATCTGAGAATCTACATACTTGATAGCCCAACTGTCCATCAGTATTCAATCCACAACCATAAAATGCATTTTTAAGTTTAGGATGAGAGCCAATGAATACTGAGTATCCAAAGCCACAATGGACTGATTTGATGTCGACTCCTTTAACACTAAAATATTTCAAATGCGTAGGTACAGGTTCATTAAACTTCTGTTTAGGATCCAGTTTGTCTATAAAGCGTAATAATAATTAATAAATTGCACCAACCCTCAGGTTCGACGTATTTTTTAATTCCTAAAGCCCCAGTAACTACGACACCACAGCCATAAACACGAGAAGATCTCTTAGGTGTGAATTTTTCTTCAACCGTTTTCGAATCACCGAATTTCGGAAAAATCGATATGTTTCGATAGAATGTGTCCTTTAGAGTCAGAACACGTGGACGAGCAAAACATCCCATCGACAACATTAACAGACAATCTCCTTACAAGTGACCTTCGTTTAAACGTGACGGCTAATCATGTGTACGATGCTTGATAATCAAGTCATATAAACAAAGCAGTATTATGAATTTGACATTTTTTAAACAAAAAGTGAATTCTGAGTTTAAAAAATAACGATAGTGCAGTTGTATTTTCTCGGGCAACCATTTGCCAAAATTATAAGCTTCTTAAGGAAATTTTAATTTGTGCTTTATTAATAAATCTTTAGCAAACTAACTGTTATTAATTTTTAATGATATAGTAACCTGAAACAATGAACTATGGTGAATAGCTAATATTTGTTTAACAAAATACTTCAATCAACATTCGAATAGTTAATAAGTAATGAAAAGTTTAGCAATTACCAAAATGTGTAATGCTGATCTCAATTGTTAAATGCTAAAATATTTCCAAAAAAATATCGTGGTTGCCTTAAACGATAAACTGTTTGCAGTTCTGATATAGCCAACCTTTTTAACATTGAACACATTTATTATTCTATCAAGATAGTTCTTGACATGTATATGTCTATGTATATATTCCTGAAAAGAATTTAACTAAGAAACATATTTTTTGGAACATTTCTGCTTTTATATGACAATTTAAAAGGATATAATCTAAATTTTATTCAACATCCTTTACAAAATATAACATTCTTAAATTTACTATTGACGATTATAACCTTTTAGCATTAAAATCCAAATGTATTTATTGATAGTAATTTTTGAGAAATATATGCTCACTTATCTCCAAATCTACATAGGAAAATAGAGAACTTAGCATATTCCATAATTGCTTAAAAGGGTCTAATGCTGTTTATCGCATTAGTCAGAAATGTCCATTATCAATTAACCACCACCAAATATTCGAAAATAACGAAACATATATTGTCAAAAACCATTGTATTCGATTTTAAAAAAAATGGATAGGTTTGTACTGCAGAAGTTTTTATAAGAGGCGACAGTTGCAATAATGGTAGCATATCAGGTAGCGACAAGGATAAAGGTCTAACGAGCTTCACTACACAAAGCTTAAACTTTGATGTTTTTGATTTTTCTGAATTTAAAATTGAAGGTAAATTTTTTATTCCAATTGACTGAGAAACTGAAGAAAAGCGGCATGTCACAAAAAGCTACAAAACGAAGTTCATAAAAATATTTTATTTACTTCAAATGGCAGGCTTTATGATATTTATCATTAGCCCTTAAATTTTGACCTCAGCTTCCCCCAAGGGTGGGGGTACATTTATATCAGTTAATTAATAGCAATTCATTAGCTGTCTTCTCGCTACCTAGTATCTCTGGCTTTCCATTGTTGTGTTTAGGGCTGGACACCGAATCAGGTGGGTCTTCTCCATTTCCTCATGTAGGTTACATAGGGGGCATGTGGATTGAGTGCATACTCCCAATCTGTGGAAGTGTTTTGCCAGGCACTCGTGTCCGGTACGTAGTCTAAACCAACGGCTCTGTCCGATACGTAGTCTAAACTCAGCAACGGCTTCGATTCTCGCCGCCGGGTATGTCGGAGAGTGCCACTGTCCACTATTTCTCCTAGCTATATCGAAGAGTGCCACTGTCCACTGTTTCTGATTCTTGGCTAGTCGGCTATGTCGGAGAGTGCCACTGTCCACTGTTTCTCTGTTGTTCGAGCTTTGAGTTCGTTGAACCTTGAGGTCTGGAAAGCCGGGTATGTCGGAGAGTGCCACTGTCCACTATTTCTCCTCTAAACGGAGAGTGCCACTGTCCACTGTTTCTCCTTTGTTCGAGCGTCTTGAATTCTTTTCCGATTAAGGCCTTCATCGTGTGGAAAGACATCGGTCGGTCCATGCATTGCAAAATCTTTGTCCCCTTCTTAGCAAGTGTGTCAGCAAGCTCATTGCCTTTAATACCACAGTGACCAGGAATCCATTGTAGGACCTCTG